GGGGGGGGTTCAGACATAGGCGGACTCGCTGGACTGTGTCCGGCCAAGCGCAGGCGCAGGGACTGGGGGGGAAAGGTCTTTCTTGCGCACTTCCACCAAGGATTTGCGACGCGCCTGCACCCCCCGGACGGCAGCTTTGACCTTGCGCCAACCCAAGTGGTTGAGCTCGGCCAGGTTGAGGAGGACGCAAACACCGCTGACGGCGAACATGAAGACCAAAAAGACGGTCTTCTCGGTGGGTCGCGAGACGTAACACTCCACCTCTTTGACGCAAGGGTAACGATCGCACTCGAAGATGGCCGGCACGTTAAATCCGTAGAGGAAATACTGCCCAGCTAGGAAACCGATCTCCAGGGCGTTGCGGAAGACCACCTGGATGACGTAGAAACGGGAGATGCCTTCTTGTCGTTTGGTTTTGGAGCTGCGGGGGGGTCGCGGCGGCGGGCCGGGTAGCTCCTTTGCCTCCAGGCAGTCGGGTTCTTCCTTGCAGCCCACCTCCGGGCTGGGTGCCAGCACCCCATTGATCGTCTTGGTCTTCTTGGTTTCACGACCGTCCCGTTCCAAGAGTGGGTAGAGGAAGGAGTAGCGCCGTTCCCGTTGCTTGGCCGACTGATGGACGGAGTAGGTGATGAAGCAGAGGCTGGGGGTGCAGACCAGGATGATCTGGAAGACCCAGTAGCGGATGTGGGAGATGGGGAAGGCTTTGTCGTAGCACGCCTGGTTGCAGCCAGGCTGCAGCGTGTTGCACATGAACATGGTCTGCTCGTCCTCGTACACCGTCTCTCCCACGATGGCCACGATCAGGATACGGAAAATCACCACCACCGTCAGCAGGATCCTGCTCGAGAGGAGGGAGGGGGGAAGGAGGTGCGACTGCCCAGACCCTGACACATGGGTCCTACCTAGACCCAGACTTGTGGGTCCTACCTGGACATGGGGATCCTACCTAGACCTAGACATGTGGGCTGGACGTGGATACGTGCGTCCTACCTGGACACATGGGTTGGACCTGGATGTGCAGATCCTACCTGGACACGTGGGTGCTACCTTGACCCGGACACAAGGGTTGGACCTGGAGATCTGGGTTGGACTTGGACATGCAGGTTCTACCTGGACTTGGACATGTGGGTTGGACCCAGCCACGTGGGTCGGACATGGACCCAGACACGTGGGTCGGACATGGACACGTGGGTCCTACGTGGGCACTGGGATACGTGGGTTGAACTGAGACAACATGGGTCAAACCAGGCTACGTGGGTTGAACCTGGACACGTGGGTCTGACCTGGACCCCCCAGGTCCCACTCAGACACATGGGTTGAACCCAGACCCCCCAGGTCCAACCCAAACCCATACCCCCAGGTCCTACCTGGACCCCTGGGTGTTTCCCAGGCCCATCTCCCCCCATGCCACCACCCCTGACCTTCACCCATCCTGGGGCCACGGGCACCCATCAATACTCATCCCTCTCGCTGCAGCTCTGCCAGGAGTGGTGGGGCAAGCAGGGTGGGGGGGTGTCATCCCCTGCCCCCCCCCGGGGGGACAGCGGGACTCCCCAGTGCCCTGTGCACCCCATGGCACGTGGGAGCCCATTCCCAGGTGCCCTGAGGGAGCTGGGGTG